CTGGCTTCTTAAATGTGATCTTCAATATCTGGTTGGAGCATCCAGGGCTTATAAGAGATGGCTACAAGACATCAGACTACAAAAGCCAGTCTTCCAAATATGCCACTCCAACCCAGCAATGTAGTAGCTGGCCTCCCTTGACTTTGGAGCCAGAGAGACTAAAAGTGTTCTTAAAGCTCACCCATGTTAGCTTTCATTAAAACTTGAGTGCCTTGGTCTGACAGGTGGCCATGCAACACACAATCAAGTGTACTGGGAAGCTCAGGGATTCTGGAATCATATAGATCCAGGACTGAGACACCCCCCCCCGCACCCCATTGTCTTTTTGACCTAGAACACATTACCCAATCTTGCTATTTTTTAATTTCCTCCCCTCTAAATTGTGAACAGTGCCAATAATGTTGGGTTGTTCTGAAAATTAGAAATGACATTAAAGTACTTAGTGCAGACCCCAGTCTGTAGAGGGCTTTGGTGAGCAAGAATCACTCACCCCCCAATCTCTTCTTGAATACCTCTGTGATAGGAATGCTTTCAGTATTAGACACACATATTGGATGGAATTTTCTGCCACATGTTATGCCAAATTCTGTTTCCAGTAACTTCTATGCATCTGCTCTGGTGCTAACTTTTATGGCTTCAAGAACAAATCAAAACTTTCTCCAAAAAGTAATGATCAAATATTTGAAGACAATTTCAGTCTCCCCCTTGTCTTCTCCATGGTAAGCCTTTAGAACCTTGAATCCTGCCATATGTGGCATGATTTGATCTCATTGAGAATGCTTGTGAACTCCCTTCCTTCCTATATATGAGGTCTTGCCAGCCATACAGAGATAAGGAAACCACTAAAGTCTTAGGACCAGTCCCTCCTGAATAAGCCTGGCCAGTGTGCACAGCTTGTGTGAGCATCTCCTAAGTTTTGGATCAAGGTTTAACCTGCCTTTCACCTTTCTATTACAGGATAGGAGCACTAATACCCCTATAAACCAAAACACAATGTAAAATGATACTGTCAGATGCTGCACTGAAAAGTCAACTCACTCCTTGTGGCCCTGCTCAGTTTTACTGCATTATTTGCCCTCAATTTTTTTCTCTGTATATCTAATGCTTTCTGTGGGACTTGAAGTTCCTGCCATTCGACTTAAAAAAAAAAAGTTGACTTTGACTAGTAGAATGAGGCAGAAGTGACAGCAAGCCTTCTAGGTTTAAGAGGACTTGCATATTGCCATTTGCCCTTCAGCACCCCCATGGTAATGAGAAGAACCTGCCCCCACTAGTATTCTGGTCCAAAGAACCCAGAAGCCCTGTGGAATCAGGCCCCCAACAAAGCCGCCTATATTAGCTGGCCCCCAGATAGAGCACAGACTCTGAGCCAAAGTCAATGGTAAATGTTTTGAAGTCACTGAGTTTTGGCATTGTTTCTTATGCAGCATTTTTGTGGCAAGAGACAATTATACAGAAATTCTGTAGGCCAGAAAATATACAGAAAGCCAATCTAATCCCACCTCACCAGAATAAATGTTTCAGAGAATTAATGGGAGGTTTATAAAACTATAATTAGACTAGATGGATATTTCATAGACGGTTTTCACCAAACTGTGACTTTAAGATTTAAAAAAACTGTAGCCAAGAAGAAAATACGTATGTGTACTCTATGGCATGAATATAATAATAGCTTATGACAAAAGTAAGCTCAAATGCCAAAGAAATACAAAAAGTCAAGGGGTTCCTGCTTGATATAGTTCACATCTATATTCAGCTCATGTTCAGTGAATACCCACCGTGTATCAGCATATATCTGGACCCTGGGAATAGGTTGTGGGAAAAGTGGACAAGGCTCAAATCCTGGGAAGTTTGTATTCTCTTGGAGATTAAGAAGTTAAACATTTAGCTGGGCATAGTGGCACATGCCTTTAGTCCCAGCACTCAGGAACAGAGGCAGACAGATCTCTTGTTCATTCAAGGCCAGCCTGGTCTACATAGCGAGTTCCAGGTCAGCTGGGGCTACAGGGAGACCCTGTCTAAAAAAATCCAAGAAGGAGGAGACGAGGACGGGGGGGTTAATCATTCAAAAGAAACCAGATAACCAGGTCATATGTGCTATGAAGAAATTCAGGCAAAGTAATAGCTATTTAGATAGCTTGAGGAGGACCTCTTAAAGGGTGAAAACTACATGCTATCAAAGGGAAGGAAGACCGAATTGAGGGGCATAGCAAATGCTAAGGCCATAAAGGAGGAACAGGTTTGGCATGTTTAAGTTGAAAACAGAGGTGTGGAGACTGGTGATACAGTTCAAAGTAAAGTGGGCCATATTCAAAGAGGCCAAGGGCATGTGAAGCTCTGTTGGCCACAGCAAGGAGTTTGTTTCATGCACAGGGCAGTGGAACTCATTGAAGTATACTAAAGATGTGACCTGATTGGCTAGCTTTAGCAGCTCATCCCTAGCTGTTGTGTGGAGAAGGGATTGTAGGTGGATAACAGTGGCAGGAGAGGAGCCAGATGATTGTATCATGGTGGCGGCTTTACTGGGGTGACAGCGAGGCTGTAGAGAAGTGGGACGGTTGCAGGTGGATTTTGGAAGCACAGTTAGACTTGCTGATGGATTTGAGGCTGAGGAAAGTAAGGAATAAAACGACTTCTAGATCTTTAGCTGGAGTAACTCAGAGGGTGGTTGGTGGTGCCATTTCTGGCAGTGAGGAAGAGTGACCAAGGAAGGAGAAGTCCAGAGTTCTGTCTGGATTAGACCCCTAAGTGGACTTGTCAAATAAGTACTAAGTTAGTGGTCAAGGCTGAAAATAGAAGTTGGGCAGCTATCAGCCTAGAGATGGTATTTTAGTCAAAGCTTCGGATTAATTAGTCTACGGGCATAAAAGCTCAATTTTTAATTTAAAAATTTAAGAAGTTTTAAATTTTAAAAATTGTTAGCAGACAGAAGTGGGAGGACTAAGCCACAGAGCAAGCTGACATTTAAAAGCTTAGCAGAGGAAGAAGAGACAGGAGCCTGGGAGAAAAAGGAGAGCGTGATTCAATGGAAGCCAAGAGAAGAAAGCTGTCCAAGGAAAGTCGTCAGCTTGAGTTGGGTTGAAGATGAGCTGAATCATAAAGTAAGATGAGGAAAGAGGAATGGTGGGAAGTATGGAGCTGATAAGTAACCTTGAAAATGAAAGATTTAGGCTGGCTATGGTGGTGTACATCTGTAAACCCAGCACTTGATAGGCTAAGGCAAGAGGATGTCAAGTTCAAGACCAACCTAGATTATGTATAGAAATCTGGTCTCAGAACCAACCATTCAACAAAAACAGACCAGTGGAGAGAGAACTCTAAATGGAATTGTTGAAAAGTGAATGAGGGGTGAGAAAGAGGTGACCATGCAATCTTGAGAGAAAGGGGAACAAACATGCAGAGGTCAAGGTTTGGGTTCATGTTTAAGTAGGAGATACAGGGGTGTGCGATCAGATGTCAGTGGGGGTAAACCAACAGGTAAAATATTAGTGTTGCAGGTAACAAGGTGGCAAAGCCCAGCAGTCCTTGGGGAGGAGATGGGAGCATAGAGGAGGCGTGGCCTTCTATGGAAAAGGGGGTGGGGCAGGCAGTGAGGGCAATAAAGCCAGTAAAGACTCATGTTTTCTAAGAGGACTGTGACTTTGGGTCAACGTTTGAGGAGTCAGAACTTCTGATACTATGTCCTTCTTTTACAACTGGCTAAACTTAAAAAACAGACTGAAAATGATCACCCTTTTACAAAGCATTTTAGAAAGCATTAGAGATGACAGATAATTCACATGTTCTTCTTCATTTAATATTTTCCCTTTTAATCATTCAAATTCCTACTAGGAATAAAATTCATTTCATTTCTATAAATGAAAATAGTTTAATGAAAGGACTACTTATGGAGATGAGAGCTGAACTAAGAGATGTTACACATCAGAGATGCCCAATGACCAGCAGTCCTTACCATCCTTAGGACCAATGAATCAGGAAATAACAAGAGATCCCAGTGAGAGTGTAGCCAGGAAGGAAGGACCAACTCTACCGCTGTGACTGTTCGGGCAGGAGTTGGGGAACTGGTGTCAAAGCAGAGAGGGATGACAGAGAAACCTCCTGACTTCTCTCCTCTCTTGTTGATTTTTCCAAAAGGAAAACTCAACTGGAAGCCAGCCGGCAAGTGATCCTGAGTAATGTGATTCACGGTGAAGGTCAGAGAGTAGACCTGGCAGGCACAACCAGCACAGCCCCTGACACTCCATACCATAAATATCCAAACCGTTTTGAAAACCGTTGCAAGGGGGAAATCTTTATACCCAGTGCGACTGTGCAGAATGCAGCTTATCATTTGGTCTCCTGTGGGATTTAGAAAATACAGCTGTTCATGTTCTTTGCCGCAAATCATCATGGACCCTTGTAGTCCGCCCACATTCTTCAAATGTAATGTTTGCCCCTGTTCTGTCTTCTGTTTTTTCTCCCCGGAGGCATAGTAGCCTTAGAACTACAGCAGCTTTCACCTCGGGTCCCTCACCTGTACGGGTCCCTCACTTGTACAAGCCCCTTCCAGAGCCAGGAGACAGCTCCAGGAATGCATCTGTGCGACCATGTGCCTTTGTGAAAATTTTGAAAGCTGTTTTAAATATCGTGTATTAACCCTGTAACTCTTTACACTCTCTATACCCTAGACAAGTTCCTCCCTTGAGGAACTTGACCAGTATTAGATGAACTTTTTTTCCCACAGATCCTGGACCAGCCACTGCTCTCAGCAGGGACTGGACAGTCTGAATACAGACTTTATCCCTCTTATGAGGCAGTGTGATTAATAAGCATCAGAATGGACACTTGGGGATAGTAGAGGGTATCAGAATAACAAAACCCAGGAAGAGGGGTGTGATGCCCTGGTCAGCTGAAAGAGAGCTGTGTTTAATACCGTGGCGCTCCCTGGAGTAGCAAAAGGTGTTCGGGTCTCCACAGTTTCTCTCTGAGGGGGATTCACATGCTGCTCTTTGTATTTTTAGATGCAGATGGAAACCTGTGTCGAAGTAACCAGCTGTTGCAAGTCATGCTGACCATGCACCGAATCATCATCTCCTCTGCAGAGCTGCTTCGAAAACTAATGAAACTATATCCTTGAGCATTCAGAACGTAGCTTGTGGTTTCAAGTATGCTTTTATTTTGACTGATTTGGAATAAACCTGAGTAGTAAATGGATTTACCTTTCTTTTTAAGGCTATTATCCACACCCCCCCATACGTGTGTGTGTCTGTGTGTCTGTCTGTCACTGTGTGGTAATATTTATTTAAGTAGGGTAATATTATTTATGTTCAGTGCTCTGAGTGGTCAGGTGGTCAAAGAAATCAACATATAAACGTAAGCAATATCAGTATCTTTTACTAGTAAAAAAGTACTTTTTTGTTTTTTTAAATTTTTATTTATTATTTTTATTTTATGTGTATGCGTGTATTCCCTGCATGTAGCTAAGTGCACCCATGTCATGCAATGCCCGAAGAGGACAGAAGAGGCTGTTAGATCCCCTGGAACTGGAGTTACAGACAGTTGTTAGCTGTCATGTGGGTGCTGGGATTCGAACCCAAATCTTCTGCAAGAATAGCCAGTGCTCTTAACCATTGAGCCATCTCTCCAGCCCAAAAGTACTTTTCTTATACAATAGTCAAAAATCATATCCAACCTACACTGTCCAATGTATGAATGGAACCTGAATGATGCATTTCTTGCTGGATTTCCTCCCAGTTCTTCAGCCCTTCCCCAGGCTCTGAAGAAAAGTTTTCTGGAACATCTATTCGCACCTTCTTGTTCTAGGCTGGCACACTGGCTGTGGGCCAGGCAGGTCCTGCTGGATGTAGGCCACCTGTGGGTATGACTTGGGCAAGGGAAAGAAGGTGTCAGCTTTCTCATTCAGTATGCTGGTGACACTGTGAGCTGTGGCCCCCAAGAGAAGAGTGTTGTGGGAAAGGTGAGAGAGGCCATTTAGCACCTAAGGCCCAGGTCTCTGGGGCTGGGTCATGGCATGTGACTGCTCAGATCCTTTACCAGACAAAAATAAAATACTACAGCTTGGAGGAGGAGGAAAGGAGGAAGAGGAGGAGAAAGAGAAGAAGGAAGAACAAGAGGAGGAGGAGGAGGAGCAAGGGGCGGAGGAGGAGGAGGAGGAGGAGGAGGGAGATGAAAAAGATGAAGACAAGGAGCGGGAAGAGGAAGAAGAAGAGAAGAAGGAAGAAAAGGAGGAGGAGGAGGAAAAAGGAAGAAGAGGAAGAAGAACAGGAAGAGGAGGAGGAGGACAGAAGGACTTGACCTCCTTCTCTAAACCTCTCCAGGAAGCTTCATCTCCCACCTCAGAGGCCAACTTCCCAGGGGCAAGACAAGGGTGGCACACTGGGAGACAGCAACCTAAGGAGAGGTGCAGGTGATAAGTGGGTGCCTCCTCTGCAGAGAACTTCAAACCAATCCAATCTGTGTTTTACTGACTCTATGCCCTGGTGCTGTGAACAATGCCAGTGATTAAATACTCCTCCCTAAAAGTATGTGCCAGCCTCAGTGTACATGGGTCAGCCACCTTTTAGGTGCTGCTCCCACAGCACCCCCTGCCCTGCCTGCCCTCCCACAGACACACACTCCTCCTCCTCTCCCCTGTGCTCTCAAGTTCTGCCTTTCGGTGGCACCCGCTCCCCAGCCATGACACATTCAAATGTCCCTTATCTAAAAATAAACTCTTAACCCTGTTTCCCCTTTCTTCCATTGTTAACAAGAAATTTGATGCAAAAACATCTTAAAAGAGTCTGCTCACAATCTCCAATCTCTCTCCTCCCACTCACTCCTTAACACAAGTGAGGCTCTGACCTCAGTAACTCAGACTTTCCTCTGCTGTCACTGTGGCCTCCCAGTTGCCAGGCCCAGTGGTCTGTTCTCCATCCTTCACACTGACCTGGGCATCATGTTAGCCCAGGCCTCAGAAGCTTTCCCCCCCGCCAAGACTCCTGAACTGCATCCTCCTGTCCATCCCAGAACCTCATGTGACCTCACAGAGAGCACTTACATATGGGGATACCATGGCTTTCTTCTCTGTGGGTGGCTTCATGCCAAGGTGCCCACCACTGCTGTATGTGCTGATGAGCTTGTTTGGAAGGTCTGGGCTAGTTTGTACTGTTAACACTGTAGCATATTCAAATGTGTTTGTTACCTTGTCCCTCCCTCTTTCTTAACCCATTTCCCTTTGAGTCTGTCTGGTCCTTCTATTTTCAGTTTGTTTCAGCTGCAGGCAGCAGCATCATGCCTCAACACAAACAAGAGTAGCCTTGCCCCCGCCCCCGCCTCCCTCCTCCCATTAACCCTGGCTTTCTGTTCCAGGATGACTCTTAACCTGGTCTCTTCTCCCCACTCCTGTGCCACCACGGTAGTCCAAGTCCCCTGGTCTCCCACACGCCTCTGCCCTTTTCTGCTCACCTCGTGGTGAGCACCTTCTTCTGATCCACATCTGGGGTTCTTTCCTAAAAGCACATCCTCAGAGACTTTATCAGCTAAGGGTTAATGTCTGATTCCTCCGTGTACCAAGAAAAGATCTTCCCTTGTGTGACTGAGCCACCTTCCTGCTGCAGCCCACTAGGCTCTTGGAAACTGTTTCTCCTAGACCTTCAACCTGAGCCCTCCAGACTGATGGGGGACCCTCTTAGGACTGCTGGGCCTGGAAGTCTTTTCTCTCTTCCTGTCTTTTTTTTTCTTCAAGATACTGTTATGGATGTCTCCCAAATTCCCCAGCCCACCCCTCCCACTCCCAGCAATGTGTCTAGTGTCTGACAGTCTTCTTCACTGGGAATCTGTTTAGTTCTTTGCTTTTCTGTCACTTAAGTCAAATTGTACATCTCTCTGTAGCCTGGATATAGATAATCTGCTTGAAAAGCCTCCATCTATGACTACATGAAGTGAGAAGTGTTTTTATTCCATTAGCTAATAAATGCATCTGTTGGAACTTGAGTCTGTACACTTTGCCGTGTGGTGCTGACATACTCTGGTCTTAGTAGGTAGATGTTTTAAGCACACTGCACAATGTTGTCTCTAGCTGGATTTGATAGCTGCATAAAAGCTGCAGGGTATTACAGAATCAGTTCAATAGTGGGTGACTTTAAAAAATTAGGTTTTAAAAGTGCAGTGTTTAACTTCCTTTGTGTGTCATGTCCTGCACCAGATCACCCCTGCAGGGCAGGGACCAAGGCTTATTGATCTTTGCTTCCGATAGCTGAGTGCACATCTCATGGTAGGGTAGGAAAAATGCTAGATTATTTCTGGCACAAAACATGGGATGCTTTTTCTGTATATACCAGAACGTTTAGGTCATATTTCTAGGTTTTGCTTAAGCTAAGGAATAACCTAAGGGACGGGTAGAGTTCTGAGACGGGAGGATGAAGGAAGACGCTCTGTACTAGAGCGCCAGGTTAAACACTGCAGGCAAAATGATTTTTTCTTAAAACCTTGATTTCTTAGCTTTTGACCTGGAAGTAACAGAATTTTTAGTTCAGTTGGCTCAAATGGTTCCCTGCTTTTCATGGCTGAGAGAGATTTAAAATTTTGCTTCAAATAGTGTTTGTCCTGGCACTTCCTACCCACCTTTCTGGCTGGGAAGAAAAGCCCTAGTGTTTCCAGCAAGCACTGGGTGTTTGCTTGATCTCCTGAACTGAGGAAGAGGGAGCCCAGCCTCCTGCCCCACTTAGGCAGGCTGCCTGTGAGCAGCAGTGCTGAGGGCTGAGAGTGGGGAACGTCACAGTCTGAAGGCCACTCAGGAGCCCCTTCCTAGGCTCAGCACTGCTGACAGTTTGGAATTGCATAGACCACAGCCCTATGTGCTGACTGTGGATATCTGTGAGACAGGGAGACAGGCTACAGGGTAAACCCCACATGTTTGATTTAACATTTCCACTGCTGTTTGAAAAGAGAAGTGTGCTTTTTGTGTGCCTTCCCTTTTACTAAGGAAAAATAAACATTTCAATAAGTAGAAAAAAGTGATAAAATTATAAGACCCTAAAAAGAAGCTTTTTTTTTTCCCAGAATGTGCCTTGTGCTCTTTGTGTTAAAACCAAAATACAAACAAACAAAAAAAAACTCAAACAAAGCAAAACAAAACAAGCTGTGTTTTTTCTTCCTTAGCAAAGAAATGTGCAGTGCCTCAAACCTTCCACCTCCTTCATTTGCTGCTGGTCCTGGGATTGTTTGGATTTTGATTACATTGTTGATGTGTGAGGTTTTGTGGGGAAGAGGGTTTTGACTGTGTGATTGTCTGTGTGTGTACTCTAATTTTAAGAACATATTTTATAGGAAGTAAATATATTTGTAGCTAATTTTTCAAATTATACATTTATTTAAAATTATAAATTTTACTATTTTGTTTTCAAGTTTAGCTTGTAAATCTTTTTTAAAGATTTTCTTTCATTTATGTGTATGTGTGTACCACATGTATTCAGATGCCCACAGAGGCCAGAAGGTGTTAGATCTGGAGCTGGAGTTACAGGCAGTTATTAGTTACCTAATGTGGCTGCTGGTACTGAACTCTGGTCCTCTGGAAGAGCAGCAGATGCTCTTAACTGCTGAGCCCTCTCTCCAGCCCTGTTTTACAAATCTTAAACTTTGTATAAGTCTAGCATGTTTCTGCAAGCCATATTAGGGGACATGGAGAATGGTTACTTTGACTAATAAAAAGTAAATACAGTGATTTTTAAACTACAATTTTATATTGTTGTAATTTTATCACTCTAATATATTAATGTTATGAGCAGTAAAGTTAACATCAGTCATCTCAGCTGTTCCACAGCTGAGCATAAAATAGTAAGATCTCAACTTAAAACCACAGGTCTACAACACTTAATCAAATATTCTACACTAAGATTCAAACGTGTGGCACCTAGATGCCCAAAAAGGAATACAAGATTGAAAATACACAGAGGTCTTCCTAATAAAACACCAGAACTGCAATTTTCATTATTTTTCTTTTCTATATTTAACTCTAAGTTTTCCAAGGATGAAAATACACATACCCAGTGAGGGGAGATCAGTCCCCACACCAGTCAATGTTATCTCTACTGGGTTGTTGCTGGACCTCTCTCACCAGCTCAGCTGCAATCCACTGAACCCTATACTACAGTTGTTGTTACTACATCCTGGTAGTTAGGAGAGAAAGAAGCCACCACCAGAAGGCAGATGCTAGGACCTACCACATTCACCACTGGACTAGACTTTTCATTTCTTTGGCTCTTAAAATCAATGAATATTATTTCTATATATCTTGAAAGACATGCAAACTTAAGGATATTCTTCTGTTCTTTTCAAAAATATTTAGAATGCTAAAGATTGTCAAGGCGCTCTTCAGTTATATGTTGGATTGCTCGATGGTTTTGTCTGCCTGGCCATGACATTGCACAAGGTCAGTTTACTGATGTCCACTAGATGTCTGTATAATAAAACTGTCACATTATTGTTCCTAATTGTCAATATATTTTAATTCCTCTATTATACAAACCAGATTGTTACTACATAAATCAATTACTAGAAACATTTTAAGTTCTTTTGAACTTACTCATTAGTTAAGACCTTTTAGTCTTTCTACACAGGCAAGGGGTAATCTTACTTCAACAGTTGATTTAGCAAATACTTACAAAGATGGAAGTTGTTTAGTTTCCATACTATCGCTGCATTTCCCTTAACCATAGTTCTACATATAAAGATGCTTTGGAGAAGAATTCTCCTGGGCTCTGCCTGAAGATCTGCTATTTTGTCAGGTAATATCGGCCTTACCTGGAGACTGTGTGGAATGGGGCAAATCGAGAGACTGCTGTCTAAACCAGCTCTTTTGGTCTTCTGTGCCTTTCCCTCCTGGCCTTCCATTGACCACTCTGGACAGACCAAAAAATGACAAGCCTTAATACTGGAAATTCCTCGGTCAAACACAGTGAATTTCCTCTAGTGTACCTGTGCTTAAGATTTTTGCATTTTTTATTTTAATTTTTACAGCATTTTGCATCAAATGAGATAAGGGAAGGCTACGAAGACAGTGAAGGACCTCTGCTATCTTGTTTATTTTTGGTACTGATTATCACTGAGCAACATTTTGAAAATTCAGAAAACAATATAATATCACATAAAACATCTGCTTATTTGGTATATGGTCTTTATTTTTTCCAACATGGATTTTTTGTGGGTTTTATTAATTTTTTTAGTTAGCATACAATTGATGGGTTTCATTATGGCATATATATATGTATATGTGTATATATATGCCATTATACTTTGTTCCTTTTCATCCCTTCTCCCTTGTTTTTTAAATATCCTTCCATTCAATCTATTTCAGTATATTGAAATTTCAATATATTTTAATATATATATATGGTTTTATACTCTATAGCTTTCACTTACTTCCCAATGTAAAAATCTTCTCTAGCCCTTGTAGACTTTTTGTAAACATTATTTTTCATGGCCATCTTATATTCTAACATGCAATAAAGCATACTGTGCAGATACACTGCCCTATTCTTGCAAATTTTGTTTGTCCACAGTTCTGTCTTTTGCAAAGGACTACAGTATGTGTCTAAATCCCATCCTAGTTCTTTGATCCTGATATGCAGTGTCCTATCAAAGCATTTTGTGCGTGGAGACACTGAAGCCTTGCTGCATGGTTCCCCTCTCCCCAACTTCATTATGTATCTCCCTCCCCACCCTCCAGTTCTTTCATTACAGGACAAAACAGCCTCAGTTTTCTGAGTCCTCTTTGTAGCCTCAAATTCCTTTGGGAATTGACCCACATGCGAGGCCTTGGGTTCGGTGTTAGACTGTGGTTTCTAACTCCCTCCTTATAGGTACTGGATAACGGAATTCTGGATCATGTTTAAAATGGATGCCAGCTTGACAAGCACCATGGAGGAATTTCAGGAGTTCGTGAAAGCCAGTGGTGAGGAGTCTCACTGCCGCCTCATCGATACAACCCAAATGTGAGTGTCAAGGTTTGGATGAATCCTTCGAACCATCTCCCATAACCCAGGCTGTATCACTGGGATGCTCACTCACTACCTGCTGCTCTCCCCTCACATCCCAGAAGCTCAGACAGGCAGGTTCGGATTACCCTTCGCCTGGTGAGAACATATTTGGATGTCTGTAAGAGACTCTTAGTCTTCCAGATTTGAAAGGGAAGTCAAGAATAATTCAGATTACTGTTTGGGTTTGTTGTTCATGCAGTTGGCCTACTCTATCGCATGCTGTGGTTTTTACATGTACTTTGCAATAATATAAATCCCCAAGATACAGAGTTCTAGAACTGAAGCATATTCTAAAGATCAGCTCATCCAAAGTCCTGGTTTTGTGACTGGGGTCTGTGACTGGTCTGGGGTTGCACAGGTAGTTAAACTACCATCTATTTAACACGGCCTACTTAGACATGAACTAGTGGCAGAGTTGTAGCAGCACCCCAAGGCGCTGCTTATAATATCCAGGCACATAGAGGTGATTTCAAAAAAACCACATTCTGTGGCTGGAGAGATGCCTCAGTGGTTAAGAGCACTGGCTCCCTCTTGCAGAGGACTGGAGTTCAATTCCCAGTGCCTACATAGTGGCTAACAACTGTCTGTAACTCCAGTTCCAGAGGATCTGACACCATCTTCTGACCTCTGTGGGTATTGCACAACATGGGTACACTTACATACATGCAGGCAATACACTCATACACATAAAATAAAAGTAATAAATAAAATGTTTTTAAAAAACCACATTCTACAGACCTAGATGAATCTATTCAGTGGTTTGGGCTTTTTTTTTTTTTCTTTGTTTCTTTGTTTTCTGTGCTTAGAATTATACAATTTGATAGATAAATGAATTTTTTTCAAAGTAGCAGCTTTTTCATTTTAAAGATGAGGAGCCTAGAACCCAGGTCAGCTTTCAAACCTAGGGCTTCTGTCACAGGATTTCCTAGTTTTGCATTCCACTATCAGTGTTTTTCACAGTATGCTCTTTCAGAGTTGTTAGTCTGAAGATATTATATGACTGAATATATTAATTTTCCTTTGAGTCTATAAAATACAGGTGAACAGGTTTACAGAATTTGTAGCTTTCCCCCAACCCTTTTAATGCCAGAACAGTTCTCTCTCGAGAATCAAGGCTCTTAGGAATACCTCTTTAGAAACCCAGGTTTGCAATCTGCTGCCTTTCAAGACTGGCCACTTCCTCCTACTCCTTAATGTGAATCTGAAACACACTGAGAGACAAAGGGGTTGGAGGAGGGATTGTGAGGAAATTTAAGAATTGGGTCAATCCAATTCTAGGATTATATGATCATTTTAGTGGCCAGGGTTGGGACATTTGAGGAAAATGACTAATTTCTATCCAGAGTGACCACATGTTCCTACCCATGATTCCTTCAAGCATGGTGTCTTTTCCCTATGGTCCTCTGAGCTCTTCTGGTATGAAAATTGCCCCACTTTTTGAGACGTATAAATTGGACAGCCCCATCACCCTTACAGGAATGGAGAAACACAAAGAGGCCTGGACAGAGCAGACTTACTTCAGCTGGAGGAAGGAACCAGGACCAGAGAGGCAGGGAAACAGGAACCAGTGCCTGAAACTGCCCTTCCCAGTGCTCTTTACCTGTTCCTCCTGCTATATTCAGAAACTAGCTACTTGGAATTGCTATCGTAGGAAAAACTGACTGGAGGAAACTCTATTAGTGCATTGTTTTAGCCAATGAAAGCTGGCCAGTTGTGCTCTAGATATTCTTGTGGGGAACTCTAGTATACTTACTCATAAAAAGTAATTGCAATTTATTCTTTTTGTCTTCTCCTTTTCACATTTATCCACAAAAGCAATTCCCGCGACTGGTCCAGGAAACTTACCCAGAGGATAAAGTCAAATACCAGCAAGAAGCGGAAAGTCTCCCTGCTGTTTGACCATTTGGAACCAGAGGAGCTGTCTGAGCACCTCACCTACCTTGAATTCAAGTCCTTTCGAAGGATAGCTGTATGTACCCAGGAGAAGAGGAAACTTATTCTGGGAAGTGCCTAAGCCTGAGCAGAGAAATTCAGCAGCCTGTCTACCTCCCGACCCTGTGTGCCCCTCTCCCTTCCACAGTGCTGGGCAAGGTCCCCAGCAGGCATCATGTGCTCTGGAAAACCAGCGCCATTAGAATTCCTTTGGCTGCTGATGCTGTACTTCTCCACACCTTCTGTGCCCATCTGCCACTCCACCACTCAGCATATCGAGTTATGGCACTAGGGGTACACATGACACCCTGCACACAGCTTATATGAGGGCATACACACCTTCACCCCCAATAAGCATTAGCCTTCCAGAAAGGTGTTTATAAAAATTTTTAAGTGGGCATATGTTCCCAAAGAGTCTGAATTCTAGGGTAGGCTTTGAATGGCTCTGGGAAATCATAAAATAAACAGATGTGACCAGTCTATTTCAAAACACACCTAAATCCCTGAAATGGTGCTGACGTGGCCATGTAGGACTACTTCTAGAGGTAAAATGGGCTGACCTAATTTGTTCTATTGGTGAAGCCAAGCAAAGCAAAGGTGGAGAGAAGTAAAGAGAGGGATTCACCTTACCACAGCCAGAGGGAGAGCATATGGTGCATCCTCTCCTCACTTCAGTCCTCACAACTCTATGTGACGCCAGAGAACACTGTCCCACACAAGAGAACTTGTCACCTTGTCAGATGCAACATGTTCTCACTAGCCTGTGTGCTTTCCTGAGATATGAATGACACTTATTCCATACACATAGGTACAGTCTTCAGCTTTGATCTGTAACTAATGAGTACCAAGTTGCCCGCCTTAGAATGGCCTGTGTTTCCCAAGTGGGGGACTGAAGGTCCAGAGGGCTGATTTGAGTAAGGTCTGCATAGCTCATTAGAATTGGAGCTGGGTACAAACTCATGATTCCCAGGCACTCAGCACTGCTGAATTGAGCCTGGCTGAGTGTGGAAGGAGAGCAGCAAACTATAGTGTTAACATCTTGCCCAGCATCACATGGCCCTTTGGCCACGCAACCAGGAACCTAGGAGTTTCCACTTGAAACTGTCGCTAAACACTCACCTGTGCTCAGTTCCCTCAGGGGCATCCTTTATACAGAACCTTGAGTCATTCTGAGGCTCCATCTGGGGAATCTCCATTCAACAGGACTCCCCTGTCCTGGGGCAAGACACCAGTCCTAGCTGAAATTCCACTATCACACTGGAAATCTGAGCACTGCTGAAGAAACTGGCAGAGCTGTATCAGGCCTGTGTCCCTTTGATTCCAGTGCTCAGTTTCAGGGAGGCAGAAGCAAAAAAAAATCAGTGCAGGCTAAGGAATGGGAGCCAGTATATCTGGGTTGGGCAGCATTCTATTTGCAAATAAAAGCTTCAGTCCTCTCTTTTAAGAGGTGTGGCCCCCTCATGATTCAGTGTTTTGTTTATTTCTGTTTTCCCTACATAATTCTGAACCGTTTTCCCAAACAATAATTTTCTCTCCAACATGAGACTGGGGAAATTTTTATCCCCGCTGTGATATTTTGATGTTATTATAACACTTTAGAGGAGAATAAGATTATATAGCTAATACTCTAAGAAAAGGAAAGAACAGGCTGGAGAGATGGCTCAGCAGTTAAGAGCACTCGTTGCTACTACAGAGGACCTAGGTTTGGTTCCCAGCACCCACTTGGTGGCTCACTATCACCTGTAACTCCAGTTCCAGGAAATCTGATACCGTCTTTTGCCCTCTTCAGTTACTGGGCATGCATGTGTTTCACACACATACACGTGGGCACACACTCATACATATAAAACTAAGTATTTTTATAAAAAGAGGAAAAACAGGACAAATGGATTCGACATGGTATTTCTAGAGAGAAGGAATGTAACACGGATTTGCTGAAATGAGGGTAGCGGCTTCCTCTTAGAACCAGTAAGGTCTTTTCTTTCTGCAGCCGCCTCACACCTCTTCTGAGAAGTGCTGCTGGTCCTGCTCAGATTTTCCCACCCATCAACAATCACAGCACCGTAAGGTGAAGCTCAGCGAAGGAGCATCTCTTTTATTTAGGAAGACCAAGCTGTTCTACATTAACACCCCCGACACTCATACACTTTCAGTGGCTTATCAAAGCAGAGTTTATTTTCCAGCACACTGCTTGTCTAACAGGGATCTAACTGATGGGCACAGCCAGGCTTCGTCTTGCAGCAGTATAAGGACAAAGTATTCAAGATGACCCTCAGATCTGCCACATGGCTTCACTCACATTCTACTAGCCAGCAGTGCCACCTGCCCACACGGGCTCTCGGAGCCAAGCATTCAGCCTGGGGCACGGCACCAAAGTCTCCCATAATATCAGCGGAGAATAGAGTCTTCCTCCCTATTTCAGCTGAGATCCTCAGAGCAGGGAGTTGATAGTTACAACAATCACTTAGACTAGATCTTCCATGCTAGTTCAGCATCACTTATGCAGTCCCGTTGTCATCTATAGTCAATGCCATTGTCTTGTTGGGAAACTATGGCCAGTGAGCGTGTAGCCAGCCAAGTTTCATGTGCCTGTCTCACTTTGCCTCTTTTTGAGTGTGGGGGTTAAAGGCAATCCAGATAGGCTCGTTTCAGCTGGTACAGTACTCCATTTATGCTACACAGGTTGTCTTGTTTGATGTTTATAACAAGTCCATGTTCTACATACAGAAGAGTTTATGATCACATTTTAAAGATATCAGCTGGGAGAGAAAGGTTTCTTAGTAGGGGAATTGGCTTCTTGGACTGGAAGCTGAGCACTGGAATTGATAGACATTTTCCACTATGCTGTATTCTTTAGAATTCAGAATGAAAGAGAACAATACCTAGTCAAATATAATGTTTGGGTTGATCAATGTGTATACCCATTTTCTATGTCTACTGAGTGTGGTGTAGAGGGGCCATGATAGGATTTACTTTCCATCATTCTTTTTGGCCCAGTAGCAAAGATGCTGGAGAGACAGCCACAAGTTTGTCTGCCCCAAGAGGTTCCCAGCTGTCACTGTGCAGAGCTCCCAAGCCCCTCGATCTCTGAAAATATAGGGGCACTGTTCTGATGGTTGTTTTTTTCCCTCCAGTTCTCTGATTATCAAAATTACCTTGTAAATAGCTGTGTGAAGGAGAACCCCACCATGGAGCGGTCCATTGCCCTGTGCAACGGCATCTCCCAGTGGGTACAACTGATGGTCCTCAGCCGCCCCACCCCACAGCTCCGGGCAGAGGTCTTCATCAAGTTCATCCAGGTGGCTCAGGTGAGTGACTGGATTAAGACATTCAGCCCAGGTCATGAGGCAAATCATATATCCCTTTTGCCCCAAGCATGACCTATCAGAGCTTTTTCCCTCCTGGTGACCTATTAGAGTTATTTTCCCTCCTGACCCACTGCTTTCAGCTGTCTCCAGTTCTAGATAAGAAACTTTTCTATTTTCCCGCCCAAGGGCAATGTGAAGGGTCATAAGGGCCATCTCAAGATCAGGACTCAGTTTTAGATCAGTTTAGATCTTTAATATATTTTCCCATAACTAGCCCAGATAGCAAACAGAAGGCCAGTTCTAAACATCACGGGAGCCAGATCAGCGTGAATCATCTTAGATCTTCAAGTTGAGGCTCTGCTTAGTGGTGCACTTATTTGCAGGACAGACATTCTACTTCTCTGTCCCAGTTACCATCATTTACTGTCACAGGGGAATGGCATCTTTGCCTTAAAACAAGTCTGGAAAAATAAGATTTTGTTTAACATTTTTTCCTAGCCCTAGAGGGTCTAAACCAGTGTTTCTCTAAGTTTGGAAATGGCACACATGTTCTGATAGTGATTAAAGTACACTAAAAGTACAGATCTCTCTGCCTCCCCACAGATCCAGGAAATCAAAACCTATGGGGTTGGGTCCAGCAATCTTTGTTAAGCATGTGCTGAGGGTGATTTTTGGAAACCATTGATTTAGATGGTAGTTCACAAATCAAACTCAACACCAGGGGAGTCTGTGACCTCCTGCTGATTTGGGATCTGATCTGGAGGTCATTCGAAGGAAAGAAAACTGAGCTCTGGCATCTGTCTGAATAGTGTATGAGAAACTTGCAGCATGGAGGAGCAGCCACAAGTGCCCCATATAACTAACACATACAGTGATTCTCCTATCATCTGCCTTTTATGTTGTAGAAGCTCCACCAACTACAGAACTTCAACACGCTAATGGCTGTGATAGGGGGGCTATGTCACAGCTCCATCTCCCGGCTCAAGGAAACAAGTTCACATGTCCCACAGGAAATCAATAAGGTCAGTGCCACTGTCCTCTCTGGGGCCCTTGGGGGTCATTCTGGGGTGATTTCTTCTTAAGGGGCAACTCAGAGAGCATTTCCAGACTACACTTCCCTTGTCAACCAAATTAGGGACCCAGGACTCAAACCCTAAGGAAACCACAGGATGGGGGAAGGTTCAGAGCTGAGAGAATGTGTGAGATTCCACCCAGCCTCAGACAGCATCACTGTATGTATGCCTTTCTGCAGGCCACTTGAAACCATAGATGCCCCTTCCCACTGTTTACAGAATGTTGAATGTTCAGTTACCATCAGTGTCACTGACTCCTTACCCCAGCTCCTCACTCAGAATGTTTACCCAGAATAAATAGCAGTGTAGAGTGACACAGTGAAACCCTAGTTATCCAGAATACTTCAGAGAGGGAGTTTCTGGATACTTGATTTTCAGAGTTGGAGATGCAGCTCTGTTAGTCAAGTGTTCTATTAATGAGTTATAACTCCTAGCCATTACATACAATTTTGTAATATGCTTTATTTACAATGATTTTCTTTGTGTCTTATGCACTTTCCTATATTGTTAATTAGATGTCACAGATTATACTTTAAACTTTTATGGCATAGGGCTGCTAGTATAAATATCACCCACCATGACAGAGCGAGGATATAAATCCAGCTATGTATGGCATGTGCTAGCTAATGACAGTTCTTTGAGTATTGCCATCCCATGTCAGGAGACTTTACCATCCAAAGACCTCAAACATCCCAAACTGGAATGGGAAAGATTTGTGAATCTCACTGTCCCTCTCCACTTATCCCAGGTATTCCTCCTCCTTTTTAATTCTCCTCGTCATCACAAAGCGGGGCCTGTGGGAAGCCTCTTCCCAAAGGTTGGGTAAATAGGGGCATCTCCAGGCACCTTTTCATTCTTAAAGTTCTGCAGAGACCAAACTGAAAAGATCACTTATATGTCAGAGGCATCAAAAACAGAGAAACTAACATGCCTCGTACCATTTAGCTTCTAATGCAGAGGTTTGTTCCTCGGTTTGAGGTTCCTGACAGCACTGCTTCCTGTCTGTCCATAGCTGTGTGACCTCCCGGCTGTTCTGAACAATGAATCAATAAATCCAAGGATAAAGCACGTGCCCCCAAAGAGAACAGATATCCATCACTTCGGCCATACACCTCACTGTGAGCTCACATAGTTCACACTTCCCAGCAGTATTTGCAAGAAGGAGGAAGAGGCAATTTGCCATCTCAGAAGTGACTGAGTGCATTAAGTCCAAGCCTCTAGTTCTTCATTGTATGGAAAGGCTTCTTGTCAGATAATAAGTTTATTAAAAGAATTTGGGGTAGTGTCTAGAAATGGTTATTTCCCATGATAGCATGATTGGCAGTCACTTCACATCTTTGCTTCTATGAAGCTGGTCACTGTAGCACATAGGGACTGGGGTTCATAGGGACTGGGCTGTTAGCTGACGTGAACCAGCTCTGTCTGAAAAGAATGGAGCTGACTGCTCCCTTTCTGTGCTGTCAGAAGCAGGGCCTACTTCCAGGGCTGGGGCAGAGCGTGAGCTCTTATAAAGATCTCCCTGCCTCTCCTGTGGCCTTTGCTGGAAACTGATCTGTTCTGTCTCTTTAGTTCAGCACTGTAGGCCATGAATGGAATCTCACCTGCTTCCTAGACATAGGCCTAATTTGAGAAATTTGAGATAAGAGTCACCAAACAGTAACATGCAGTAGACAACTGCACTCCACAATTAGAATACATTCCCAGGTCAGCAACAAAGGCAGCACTTACTGACATCACATTTCAGATGTTATGTAATACAGTGTCTCTGGAAGCTTTCAGAAGACACCAGGGAAGGCAACCGCATGGTTTACGAATATACTCTGACCTTTGACATACATGAAGTTTGAATTTGTTAGTCATAATCTCTACATTTTAGATGCATCACCCATTGCCCATCAAATTAGGGATAGAATAAAATCATGGTGGGGATGAAAGTAAGCAAGGGGGTTCTGCAAGTACACCCTGCCCGGCAGGAACCTGTGACCAGTCTGTACTTCTGCTTTGTAGGTCCTGGGTGAGATGACTGAGCTACTGTCCTCCTGCAGAAACTACGAGAACTACAGGCGAGCCTACGGAGAGTGCACCCACTTCAAGATCCCCATACTGGGAGTGCACCTCAAGGACCTCATCTCACTGTATGAAGCCATGCCTGACTATTTGGAGGACGGGAAGGTGAACGTCCACAAGCTGCTGGCCCTTTACAATCACATCAATGAACTGGTCCAGCTGCAGGAGATGCCCCCACCACTGGACGCCAACAAAGACTTGGTGCACCTGCTGACGGTGAGGTTCACACAGGAGAACAATTACTAAGCAGCACCTATGTGCCAGCTGCCATGCTACTCCCCTTCCCAAATATTGACACCTTTAATTCTCATAAAAACTCTGGAGGAAGTATAACTGTCCTCTCCACTTAACGGATGGATACTGAAGTACAAAGATTACTGTACCAGAAGAGCCTACATTATTAAATAGTAGAGGCCTTAATTCAGACCCAGGTGGGGCAGGGAACCCAAGAGGCTTCTTTTTAAGCAGTGTGCAGGGTAGACTTCTAGGAATGTGTCCCTCCTTCTGCAAAGGCAGCCCCTACGCTCTCTAGGTAGAGCTGAAGGCAAATGAGATGCAAGGCTTGGTCACAGGTGAAGAGAGTGTGCTCTGATAGACGAGCAAGGCAAGGAGTAAAAACCAACCAACCAACACAGCAAGAAAATGGGTTTGTTCTATAGGTCCTGCAACACCCCGCTTAGAAGGGATATGCAAGCCAAGAATAGACGGGTGAATGAATTGTAGTGGACGCGGGTGTGGGGTGAGATCAGCTTCATTCCAAACCTGTGATGCTCCAGCTTGTGCACAGCTGCGCAAGTATAGGCCTGTACTCTCTGTCTCCTCCTCTGTGAACTCAAAGGGATAACTTCAGACCTCTCCTTCGGTTCCAAAATAATACAAGTTGAAACCTGTAGCTCTTCGTATGAAGTAGAATGATGGCCATGGCCCCTTCTGACTTTCCAGAGCATCCTTATGGAGTGAAAGGATTCACCTCCATCTGGAGCCCAGTTTGGGGAGTTCTGGTCCTTTCATATTAAGCAAGTGTCTCTGGTCTCAGACAACATCAATATCAACTCTATGTAGAAGCATCTGTAGTAAATCATAGTTTAAAGAGAACACCTTGGGACTGTGTCAATATTTAAGAACATTTTAACAAGAAAGAATAAATGCTTGCCCAGTCAAACTTTGTGGATTTTAATTGTTTTTATTATTGCATATGTGTGTGTATGCTGTATGTATGGGCGTGCATGCCACAGCATACATGTGGATGTCAGAAGATAACTTTATGGAGTCAGTTCTCTCCTTCTATCTTAACATGGGTTGCAGGAATCAAGCTCAGGTTGCCAGGCTTGCAGAGCAAGTATCTTTACCTGCTGAGCCATCTTACTGGCCCTAGTTCTATGTATTTTAAAAACAAACTGCTAAATACCTAGAAGATAAATCACTAGAGACACAGAACCAAGAAAGAACATGAGTGCTGGGAATATCAAACAGCCATCTTAGCAATTGATTCTGTTCTGCTTCAATCTGCAGTTATCTCTGGATCTATACTACACCGAAGATGAAATCTATGAGCTTTCTTATGCCCGTGAACCAAGGAATCACAAGGCTCCGGTGAGTTTCTCATATTGAGGCTCTGGAGTGTGGTGGGTTTTACAAGCTGCTCAAGTTCCTCCACCTTAAGGAGCTGGATTTTGTTTACTAAGAATATTGTCCTGTTGAGTACTCAGCTCTGTGCTAAGTCCAAAGAAGTCTCCTACAGGCAAATAGGATTATGTCCACCTCCTGAGAAGCTTTCCAGCTTCCAAAACAAAAAGGGAAGAGAATTGCCTACACAAAAGAAATTGAATGTATCAGTTTAGATGGCTAAGTTCTGTTGCGTCTGTAGAATGCTGAAGGGGTTCTATGTTCAACATCTTAGGAGCATTTCAGTAGAAAGGTCAACAACTTATGTTTTTAGAAAAGATTTTATTTGGGACCAAGTTTCAAATATTTAGTGGTGGATTCCATCTCAGCATGTCAAGATTTAATCTTGCTGTCTTACCTTTCCCTCATCTGTCTCTCTACTAAAATGTGACTAGAGAGAGAGGGGAAATTTAAATGATCCACTTTATCCTTTGATGATAGCTCTGCAAAGAGATTTAATGGATAGGGACTCTCAAAACACACTGAGAATGTTAAATTATTGGTAGCTGGGGATGGTGTAGTGACGAGCACTTTACAAACCTGATTGTGCATATAGATTTCAATTGTGTGCATGCTACCTGCTTTTTACCACTGCACACAGTTGGGGGCTATCTACAGATGTAATTGTCAGGTACTGGAAAGGAAGGAGCCGTGTTACACTGCCTGAGTCACCAGGATTTCCCTGACTATTCCATTTTAGCCACTAACTCCTTCGAAACCACCAGTGGTAGTGGACTGGGCCTCTGGAGTATCTCCCAAGCCTGACCCAAAGACCATCAGCAAACATGTTCAGAGGATGGTGGATGTAAGTACTCTTTCAGCAGACACAAGCATAGAATGGCCTGCTTTAAGGAGTACAGCCCTAGAAACACAGAGGAGAGCTGCTGAAACTTATGCACAGGAGCCTTTTCACATATTGAGGCTGCAGTGTTTCACATGGTGTATTTGCCAACACACTGTTTTGCAGTGGGAGGAGTTTGCCTCTCTTCAAAGCCCTAGCAGGGGAGTGTGTGTTTAAGTCATTGACTGATATGGGGGCAAAGAAGTGTTGGGAAGTGTTTGAGTAGAGGAATGTTAGCAAGGAGACTCTGAAATGGAAAAGCATGACACTGCTGGGCTAACTGCTGAGGAGGAGCATATATTTGCACACTTGCTGCATTTATTTTTGTGTGCCAATCACTCATGCAGAACAATGAGGAACACGGGACTGAAGCAGGGAGAGTACTTCCCATGAGCTTCTCAAAGAAGGTACCATCTGAGCTGAGCCATGCCAGGAGGGCAGGGTGGAGGGAGAGCACCTAACTTCTATATAGCAGACCAGCCATGTGCGGTAGCCAGGGCATGCACAGTTGATATACTAAAGGTTGTGAGCTCCTGAGGCCCCTGTAGCTGCTGGGACAGCAGAGGCCTGGGATGTGACCTGCTATCTTTTGCCAGTGTAGGAGACACATCTCTGTATTCCTCTCATTCAGACTGCTGTCAAATTTCTATTAATTGCTCCTTTGACATTTGGCTAAAGGGAAAAATGATTGGTTTCTCTTTAGTAACTTGAAGAAACTCCTTTTTTAGTCTGTCTTCAAGAACTATGATCATGACCAGGATGGATACATCTCTCAGGAGGAGTTTGAAAAGATTGCTGCAAGTTTTCCATTTTCCTTCTGTGTGATGGACAAAGACAGGTGAGGAGTCGTGGATAGGAACATGTGACTATGAGCTGGTTGGTGAGAACAAGTTTGCAGGTGTGTCACTAAAGAACTACAGCCATGATCGTTTAATACATACCAGACTTAAAAGCAATTATCAAGGGCTGGCGAGATGGCTCAGCGGTTAAGAACACTGGCTGCTCTTGCAGAGAACCTGGGTTCACTTCCCAGCACCCACATGGCAGCTAACAACTATCTGTAACTGCAGTTACAGGGGATCTGACACCCTCTTCTGACCTCCACAGGTATTGCACAACACAAGTGCACTTACATACATGCAGGCAATACACAGACACATAAAATAAAAATAATATTTTTAAAAAGAGAAATCATCAAGTGAGGCCCTCACTCCTTTTGTTTTAATCACAGACCATGAAATAAAATGCTTTTTAAATTCTTCACACCTGAAGACTCCTAAAGCTGCCTGTGTAGGCATCAACTACAGGAAACATTTCATTTTCCCTCTTGCTTTCTCCTTACAAATCATAGAAGCAACTCACTGTTACCAGTGTTTTGTGCAGTTTTCTTTTTGGCTTTTTTTTTTTTTTTTTTTTTGAGACAGGGTCTCCCTGTAGCCCCACCTGGCCTGAACTCACTTTGTAGGCCTGGCTGGCCTTGAACTCACGGAGATCCACCAGCCTCTGCCTCCCAGCACTGGGACTAAAGGTGTGCGCCACCACACCCGGCCTTGCTTTGTGCATTTTTCTCATGGTTATGAAAGTCTGTATGGCAGTAGGTTCTAGTGGCATACTATCTAAAGTCAGATACTGAAGCATAAGGCATTTTGTTTTCTACATACTTTCTACATACACAGTTTTCTATCACTTCTCTTTCAAGTCTTCACACAGTGGTCAGATTAGGTAGGAAACTCCAGTTTGGCCAAAGAACAACTGTAGAAATCAGTCAGGCTGCCTCACTTTCTGGTTACATGGTATCCTGTGTCCCTGCCATGAGAACTCAAGGAAGCAGCCATCAAGGCGGACAGAAAGAAAGGCTGGTTTCTAAGAGCAGAAGCCAACCCTCCCCCACTCACCTCCTTGCCTGATTTACTGCAGGGAGGGCCTCATCAGCAGGGATGAGATCACAGCCTACTTCATGAGGGCCAGCTCCATCTACTCCAAGCTGGGCCTAGGCTTTCCTCACAACTTCCAAGAGACGACCTACCTGAAACCCACTTTCTGTGACAACTGTGCTGGCTTTGTAAGTTATTCTTAGAGTGTTTCGGGTTGAGCTTGCACATGGGTATATGGAACAATTTAAATGAGTGAGATAGGCACAACCTCAGAATCCTTACATACGCACCCCAGCTTAGAGCCCAAGAGAATACCTAGAAGGTGTCTTGGTTTAACCTGTTTATCTAATTTCTTTCTGTTTCATTGTTGTTTTGTCCCCTGGTACAGTAAAATCTGGGATAAATGGTACAGAAATGAGGGATATGAATAGGTTTCTTAAGTATTACATGCTGTTTCAAATATTTGAAAAAAAGAAATATGATACCCTTCTTCCCATCAAAAGAAGAGTTACCATGCTTCAGTGGATCACTCTACAGCTGTTTCCACAAGGCAGCCCTAGTTAAACTCAATAGGTCACAAAGCAAAAGCAGAAACAAACACCCTGATGGTGGAAGGGTGACTTATTAGGAAGAAGGGGGTTGGTGGGGGTAATAAAAGATGGTGGAAAGATGGATGTGACCAGAATCCATTATATGCATGTATGAAACTGTCAAAGAATAGTTATTTTTTTAAAAAAAATAAAGAAATTATACTTAAGAGATAACCTAACCACCTTCCTGTAGGGGAACCCAACCAATAGTTTCTCCAAACCCAGGTTCCTGACCCAAGACTCCATGCTCAGTGAGTGTGAAGCCCAAAGGAACCTGTTTGCTGTGGTTCATCCATAGCAGGCCTGCAGAGGCCTGGGTCACACAGGGCTCTTACAGTGAGCTTAGGGAGAACAGTGACCTGGGATCAGCAGCCTCTGTCATGAAATGAGAGATTAGGTCCTACCCTGGATATAGAGAGCAGAATGATGAAGATTGAAGAGTGAATGCCAGCTTGCACCCTAACGCCAGGCAGATGAATGACTGCCATATATTCTCATTTGCCTTGCAGCTCTGGGGAGTCATCAAGCAAGGATATCGCTGTAAAGGTAAGGCTCAGCTTTTGCTGATTGGGTTGTTTTCCCTGGTCTGCGGGGCTCTTGTCAAAAGTATTTCTTAGCCATAGTAGCTGTCCATTCAGTCCAAAATTTATTGGCTGAGTGTAGAACCTTATGTCAAAACTGGCTTCCCAAGAGCATCCCTGAGAGGAAGTGTTACCATACATGAAAGGAAGACCTGGGTGGCCAGTTACAGTCTCCCTGTGTAAGATCCTCTCTTATAAGTTGCCCTGGAAATAGGGATGCAGTGCTCCTTGGAGAGGCATGAAATGTTGGATGCCCAAGGAAAGGGAATCACTTCTGGGGTGGTGGATGATTACTAAAGGCCTAGGACAGTTTTCCTTTTATCAGAAGATACCCTAAGACATAAGCCAAGACAGCATCTCTTCTCTCCAAGATAACGAGATACTGCTTGATTCTGAGACTCACTGACGAGGCTATGACAAGCTTACCAAGGGCGAAGAACGGTAGGTATATTAGGAATGCCAGGTGTCCTAGCTCCAGCAGCTAGATCAGCCATGCTTGACAAGACAGCACTGCATGAATCTGGTTGTGAGACCTGAGAGAAGAGACCCTAGACTTCCTAACCAGGGTATCTTGTCCACAGACTGCGGGATGAATTGCCATAAACAGTGCAAAGATCTGGTCGTGTTTGAGTGCAAGAAGCGAGCCAAGAACCCAACAGTACCCACTGAGAACATCACCTCTGTGGGGCCAATGTCCAACCTTTGTGCACTGGGAACCAAAGATCTGCTCCATGGTAAGGAGACATTGGGAATGTTCATCTTGTATTCAGGAAGGGATGAAGTTTGTGAGCAGGAAAGATCACCTTGTGATTTTTAGTTGCAGTTAACCTTGACCGCAGTTGTTAGGCCACAGGTGACTTGGATTTCAACTCTCCGCCTGTGCCCCAGACCCAAGTGCTATTACAGAGTGGAATCTGGCCACAAAAGTCAGGGTGTTACTGGGTACCTACACCAAATGCAGACACTGACTTCCGGCCATTATAACATCTCAAGTTAATTATCTCCCTATGTCTCCAATCCCAAGCCAAGGATAGGATATATGTGTGTGTGTGTGTTTGTGTGTGTGTGTGTGTGTGTGTGTGTGTGGTGTAACATATGGTATATAAATAGCATATGAATTTCAAAGGGATAACTGTATTCGCAAAGACTAACATCTCCATAGCTCAGAAATGTACTTTGAGAAGCTAAGTAGAAGCCAAAACCACAAGTCCTCTTGACTTCATTCCAGAAGGAGGCAGACAGCTGAGAATTTGGTTTCTGTTGTATAATGGAAACTACCTATGCATGAAAAGTGAACAGACCCAGACTTGTTGCAAAAACTGAGTAAGGACACTTAATTTTTTTTTTTTTTCTGACTGTTACTTAGGGCCAGTAGTGGGAAATAGGCTTAGCTATTAGCAAGCTTATTCACTGGTGAGTGACTATCTGGGTTATCCCTAATTTTCTTCCAGAGGAGAAGCCCCGTTCATGAATTTAAGACTGTGCCCTAGACTGGGAACCCTGACAGGCCAGGCAGAGAAAATGGTTAAAATGCTAAAATCAGAAAGATACTAGAAAAAATGGAGGAAAAACCTCAAGATATGCTTGCAGATTAAAATTCCAGATCATGCAAGGAAAACCTAGAGCTAAGCCAGAAAATTCAAACTAGTGACTAAATTGGAAAATCTGCATACATCAAAATGCAATAACCGTGCAATAAGCCTACTCAAGACTTCCCAGGTCTGAAGGGCAGCGAAGCAGGAAGGACCATCTCTAGTTGGGAGAAAAGATAGCATACCGTGGAGCAGGTCAGAAACAGTCCAGGGAGAGCATGTGCTAAGCGCCAAGTAGGCTGCAGTGACCCCGACAACAATTGTGTTGAACAGAGGGACTGGACCACTGCTCTGGGCTGTCTGGGAAAGGCTTCTTGGAGAAAGGTGGAATTTCAGCTAAATCGTGAAGGAAGGGTAGTGTCAGGTCATGAGGAAAATGAAGAACATTCCAGATGGGATGAACACACTTGGAGCAAAAAGCCCAAAGGCAGAAGAGCTGCATGAAGCTCTGTTGGGATGCTGAGGATGAGTACGGCATAGTAAGGAAAGCGAAGGTTTAGGTAAGAGATAACGTAGAGAAACAAGTAGAAGCCCATCCACAGTCTTAAATGCCAAACAAAGAGCTATTAGACAGATGAGTGAACTGTTAGAGAAAGGGCTTGGTGGGCTTCACAGAGCTACCCTGGGCCCTGCTTCTGGGCAGTGTGCTGCTTCTGGGCAGCAGTGTGTCAAAACACTCATTCCTTGACTTCCTGAAGAACACATGGATCCTAAGGCAAAAACTCTCTGCTTGTTGCCAGTGTATCCAGTGAAAGTTCTATGACCTCTAATCAGATCTGAAAAGAAAAGTTTCATTTCTGGTAACAGACCTGTTCTACTCAGCTTTCTATTGCTGTGACCAACACCAATTTGGGGAGGAAAGGGTATATTTGGCTTAAAATTCTTGATCACAGTTCATCCTTAAAGAAAGCTATGACAGGAACTCCGGGCAGGAACTTGGAGGCAGAAGCTGAAGCAGAGACCACGGAGGAATGCTGATTACTGGCTTGCTCCTCTGGCCTGTGCTCAGCCTGCTTTCTTATACAACACAGGACAACCACCCACAGTGGGCTGGGCCCTCCCACATCACTGAACAATCAAGAAAATGTCCCGCAGACATGCATGGCCATAGGCCAGTCCAATGGAGGAAACTCCTGAACTGAGTATTCCTCTTCCTAGGTGTGTCAAGTTGACAACTGAAGCTATCCAACACAAGACCAGACTAGCTGTTCTTTGTCTTCCTAATGACACATTCCCCCTGTGTGTACTGAATTTATTTATAGCTATACTTAAAATTGGGTCTAACACAAACTAAGTGCTATATGCTAGTATCATTGCTCTCGAAATGGGCTCCCTGAAGTGGTGAAGGCACAATAGTCACAAAAGCCTAGAAACAACCTGTAGGTCCACAAAGCATGAAGCATGCATGCCCTCTGCATTTGATCACTTTTAAGGTTCGGTGGTATCATTATGCATTCAGTGATCAAGCAGATCAAAACTCAAGTGCTTTCATAAGAAATGAAGATTGCTTTTTATGGTACTTGCAAGGTACTAATTTTGTATTTTCTTCCTGAATCCTTTCCCATACTATGTATCTGAACAGACTGAGTTCAGCCTTTGGGGATGTTTTGTTCTTAGAAAAGGAGATTTTGCTTTCCCCAAAGAAAGAATGTGCTGATGAACTAAGGATGTAACATTCTACTTGTAACAGAAATCTGCAAATATTACTGTGAAAGACACGCTTCTGTATGGATCCTGCATTCTAAGAGTTAAGACATCACACATGGGCATCAGTCTGTCACATAAAAATTCAAGTATTCACAGGATTAAAAAATGGTAGAGAACAGTGTGAGTCTGGTCTGAGGTCTCAAAAAGTATTCCCTGCAGGGGCTGCAGCTGAGTGCTTTCTTCAGACCCTGCCCTAAATTGATGAGAAGGCTTCGGAGGCATTTTTTCTAGTTTTCTTACAGATATGTATTGTACATTGAACATATCCTCCCCCAGCCCATTCTCCTTACCCTCCCTTTATTCACCCCTCCCATTGGTCCCCCTTTTCTTCCTAGACATCTTCACTTCTATTGTATATTTTATTTCCTATATACATACATGATTTTATATGGCTATATAAAATATAAGAACATGCTGGTATACACCTTTAATCCCAGCACTCAGGAGGCCTGAGGAGCAGATCTCTGTGAGATCAAGGCCAGCCTAGTCTACATAGCCAGTTCCAGGCCAGCTGGGGCTACAGGGAGACCTTGTCTCAAAAAACAAAAACAAACAAAAAGATAAGCAAAATATAGGAACATAGAGGGAAAACATTTGTCTTTCTGAGACAGGCTTTCTTAGGAACCTCAGGAAGAGACCAACTGGTAGGCTAAACAGATCTGTACCTTGAACAACACATGAAAACTGCCATACCACAAGGTCTGTTGATAATAGAGGAATTAACACTTAGATATCATCACCCCTTCAAGAATTTTTAAAACTGCAAGAAAGCCAGGCATGGTGGCACACGCCTTTAATCCCAGCACTTGGGAGGCAGAGGCAGGTAGATCTCTGTGAGTTCAAGGCCAGCCTGGTCTACATAGTGAGTTCCAGGACAGCTGGTGCTACAGGGAGACCCTGTCTCAAAAAGACCAAAAAAAAAAAAAAAAAAAAACTGCAAGAAAAAGTGTCAAGTCACACTTAAGAGTATCCCATTTGACAGATTTTTCAATAGAAACCCTAACAGGGCAGGAGAGAATGGATGACATATTCCAAGATCTGAAAGAGAATTACTTTTAACCAATATTACTATACCCAGCAAAGCTATCCTTCAGACATGAAGAAACCAAGATCTTCCAAAATTAAAAGCATGCTATAGATCAAATGTCTATCAAGACAGTCCCCCACACAACAGTAGCAGAATACATATCCTTTCAATGCATGGACCATTCTCCAAAGTAGGCCAAATATTGGGTCAGAAAACTGGCTTTAGTAAATTTTCAAATAAAGAAATCATATCCTCCATCTTTTGTGATCACAGTGGAAACTTGAAGTCAGTAACAACAGAAACTTTAGAAAGTATACAGTGCATGGAGACAGAACAGCACAGTTGAAAATGGGCCACTGAGCAAGTCAGAAAGGAAAAAAATTAAAATTTCTTGAAGCAAATAAAATTAGAAACACAATATACTAAAAGCCATGGGATGCAGCAGAAGCAGCCCGAGGGAAATTTATAGCAAATGAGAACCTACATTAAGCAAATAGGAAAGATTTCACATGAGTAATCTATGATGCATTTCAGTGACTTTAAAGTAACAGGTTAATAGGAGGAAAAAATAATGAAGATCAGAGCAGAAATAAATGGAGCCTTTAAAGACAATACAAGAGATCAGTGATAAGTAATTGGTTCTCTGAAAAGACAAAATTAACAAAATTTTAGGTAAACTAACCAAAGAAAAAGAGAAAGCACAAATGAAAATTGGAGATGAAAAAGGAGACCTTATTAATATAAAGTATCACTAAGGGTTATTTAGAAAAATAATATGCTAACAAAATGGTGTTTTCGTTTTATTTTGTTTGAGATGGGATCTTATTATGTAGTGCTAGATGGTCTAGTGCTCACAGTTGTAACCCAGGCTGGCCTCAAATTTGCCCAACCCTCTTGCTTCAGCCTCCTAAGTGCTAAGACTACAGGTGTGCACCACCACACCTGACTATGCTAACAAACTGGAAAATCCTGAAGAAATGGATGAACTTCTAGACTCATGGCCTACCAAAAGTGAACTAGAAGGATATAAAAACATGAACAGAACAGTAGCAGGGAATAAGTTTGTATTGAATAAGTAGTAAAAGATATCTCAACAAAGAAAAGCCCAAGACCAGTTTTCATTAACAAATTTTTAAAAAATATTTATTATTTATTTATATTTTATGTGTATGCATGTATTGCCTGCATGTAAGTAAGTGCACCCATGTCATGCAATACCCATAGAGGTCAGAAGAGGCTGTCAGATCCCTTGGGACTAGAGTTATGGGCAGTTGTTAGCTGCCATGTGGGTGCTGGGATTTGAAACCGGGCCTTCTGCAAGAACAACCAGTGTTCTTAACCACTGAGCCATCTCTCCAGCCCCTCATTAACGAGTTTTACCAAACTTAAAAATACTAACAGCAATGCTTCTCAAACTGTTCCACAAAAATGAAAGGAAATGAATGCTTCCAAATTCATTCCATGAGGCATGCATTACCCTGATACCAAAACCTGACAAGAATACAGACACGGACACAGGAATAGATACAGACACAACACACACACACACACACACACACACACACAAGCAAGGGGAGGGGGAGAGGGGAGGGAGGGGGAGAGAGAGAGGGAGGGGGAAGAGAGGGAGGGAGGAGGGAGAGAGAATAGAAAATAAACAAGTGTCTCTAATGAGCACAGGTAAAGAGTCCTGAACAACATACTAACAAACCAATTTTAACTGCATATCAGAAAGCTCATACAACATGACCATGCTGTTTTCATTCCCAGGATGCAATATATACAAGTCAATAAACATTCTATAATATAGAACGTTCATTTATAAAACCATAACATGAAAATTTTATAATCTTCTCAAAAGATGCAGAAAAATATTTGATAAAATAGCCATAGGATCATACGTCAAAATGGTATTTCTGACAAAGTCATAGTCAATATCATAGGAACAACTGAAAGCATATCTCACAGTAGCAAGACAAGGGTGTCCACTCTCATTGCTCTTTTTAAACACAGCACAGAAATTTTAGCCAGGATGATTAGGCAAGTGTAAGAAATAAAGGTGATCAAATAGGAAAGGAAGAATTTAAAGTTTCACTGTTTCCAGAGGATATGATTCTACACATAAAAAACCTAAAGACTTCACCAGAACACTATTAAAAGTCATAAACTAATCCAGTAAAGTGGATGGATACAAAGCTAACATTCAAAAATAGTAACTTTTTATATACTGATAATGAATTTGCTGAGAAAGGAATCATGAAAGCAATCCCATTCACAAGACAAGCACATATTCCATCTAGCAATAAACTTAGGAAGTGAAGGTCCTCTATGTATAATGACAATTACAAAACACTGATGGAAGGAATTGATGACACAAAAACACAAAAAGAACTCCCATGTTCATAGATTGGAAGAATCGTTAAATTATCTATACTACCCAAAACAATCTAGATTCAACACAATCCCCATCAAAATTCCAGTGGCATGGGGCTAGAGCGATGGTGCAGCAGTTAAGAGCACTGGCTGCTCTTGCAAAGGACCCAGGTTCAATTCCGGGAACCTACATGGTGGCTAAAGCCCCAGGGGAATCTGAAGCTTTCTTCTGACCTCTACAGGCATTGCATAACACAGGTACACTTACACATATGCAGGCAATATGCTCATACACATAAAAATAATAAATAAAATATTTAAAAATACCAGTGGCATTCTTTACACAAACACAAAAACAATCCTGAAAATGATTTGGGACTGCAAAAGACCCAGATAACCAAAGCAACTCTAAGCAAGACGAACAAAGATAGAGAGGCATTACAATACCTGATATCAAGGCACACTACAGAACCAAAGTAACCGAGGCAGCGTGGCACTGGCAATAAAGAACACATAAACGAATAGAATAGAATGGAATTAGAATGGAACAGAATAACCCAGAAATAAAACCACACACCTAGAGGCTTCTGATTACTGGCAAAAATGTCAAAAAGATATACTAGAGAAAAGACAGCATCTCCAATCCCCTTCTCATTCTGCACACAGGCATATGCATTTACACACATGTGCATACAACCAGAGATAGACTTGGGAGGCAGAGGCAGGTGGATCTCTGTGAATCAAGGCCAGCCTGGTCTACATAGTGAGTTCCAGGCCAGCTGGGGGCTACAGGGAGACCCTGTCTCAAAAAGACCAAAAAAAAAAGTTTAAAATATTAAAATATACCAATATAAAAGTATACAAATGTATACAAATCTTTCTCTGCATTGTGCTTGTCCCTAGATAGGACTCCTATATTAAACCTCACCACCCAGGGCTCAGGGATCATTGAGGAAGAGGGGCAGAAAGACTGTAAGAGCCAGGGTGGTACATGACCACAAGAAAACTGTCTTCCAGGCTTTGGGGAACTTGCTCATATGAACTTACAGCAACGGTGATAGCATCCCCAAGACCCATGCAAACTCAAACCAGATAAAAACCCAGCATAGAACTGAGGAAATGGGCAAGGGGCCCCCACCTTAGCTGAGGAACTATTGGCAGCTGATCACTGCCAGGTGAGGGAAAGTTGGTCTTCTTTAAGAGAGTGACACTAAATAGGCTGAACAGGCTCCAATGGATGAACACACACTGAGGGATATCTGGGGACACAAACTTGACTCAATAGGCCTTAACATATGATAGAATGCATGAAATCTGGTGGGCAGGCTATGAGGACATGTAGATAGGGGAAGGGGTCTAAATATGATTAAGATGTATGAAATGCACAAAAATTGTATATTAAAACACCTTCTCTTGCATAATCATTTCATTCCATAAGTTCATAGAATGTATTTTTCATCTCTGTTTAATGAAATAAACAGAATCCAAAATATGTTCAATAAATGATGTATAAAACCTAATGACTTTGCATGGAGCTCAAAATTATTACTGGGTCTCTGCAAAAAAGTAAATTTATGTGGCCTCCAGTTTATCTTAAAGCCCATCTCAAAAACATTTGCTATTACTCTACTTTTCCAAGGAATTCCTTCTTGTGGTTAATATTTCCAAACTGGGTCCTGGGCAGAGGTATGGCTAAAGGAAGAAAATCAGATTGCTTGGTCTGTCCTTATCTTCACAGTATCAAATAGGGGCAATACAATTTAGAATACATCAAACTAGTTCTGCAACCACATAATCTGAGCGATCATACAAGTGAGTCCCACAGAGTTTCTACCATGTACTGCTAGAGTATTGCTACCTATATCTGACCAAGCCTGAGTAATAAGAGCTCTCAAGCCCGAGTCCACAGAAGGTATTTATGGAGCATTTCTGTCTATACCTTTATCCCACTTTCTTAAGAAATGTTTATGGAACTGTAGTATCAAAGGTAGGAGTCTAACTTACTTGTAAAAACAGCAACTTTCTAGGTAACTGGTATGCAAACAGAAGATGCCCTTTTTTCAGTGTGGATAAATCCTGATGCCAAATTTCGGATGGATTTCAGCTTCTCTTCATGCCCTATGTTAGTTCCTAAGAACAAGATCTACTTGGAAACAAGGGACTCCTGCAAAAGAAAAGGTCTCATTTGGACACATGCTGAGCATCCTGAGCACCTTGAGTATCTTTAGAAAAGTATAACAAATGTTCTATCTTTCCACAGCACCTGAGGAAGGATCTTTTATATTCCAAAATGGGGAGGCTGTGGAACACAGTGAAGAGAGTAAGGACCGGACCATCATGCTGCTGGGAGTGTCCTCACAGAAGATTTCAGTTCGGCTGAAGAGAACTGTTGCCCACAAGACCACCCAGACAGAATCAGTGCCTTGGATTAGCAGCGAGACCCCTCCTGGTCACTTTGTGCTGTCATCCCCAAGAAAGCCAGCCCAGGATACTCTTTATGTGCTTCCAAGCCCCCCATCTCCATGCCCCAGCCCGGTCTTGGTCCGAAAGCGGGCTTTTGTCAAGTGGGAGAATAAAGAGTCACTCATAAAATCAAAAGAGGAGCTCCGTCACCTCAGACTGCCGACCTACCAAGAGCTGGAGCAGGTACATTTCCTTTCACTTCCTTTTGCTCTGCTCTCCTACTGAAGCAAAACTCATAGGGAAAAATGTAAGAAGTGAAGATTCAAAACAAGTTGATCATTAGCATGTTAAAAAAAATTTTTTTAGGTTGGCTGTTGAATTAATACAGTTATACAATATTGAACTCAGTATTCAACAGCAAACCAAAAACTTTATAGCCACTTTTGAAAGAGATGTATCTTTGCTCTGGAAACTGTTAATGAGTATGTTAAAGCTGTAATGAAATGCTTCTTCTAAAAAAAAAAGAGGGAGGAAGAGTGTTACCAATAATAGGTAATTTAAGTCATTTTAGAGGCTGGGAAGAAGTTTTAACTATTGTTCATTTTATTATTACAACTAGCTTTAACTATTGTTCATTTTATTAAAGGTAAGGAATGCTTTCCTGCCTTTCCCCCACAAAGCATCAAGGTTTTACCATGTTGGGATACTTATCAGTATAAACACATACCCAACATCCCCCTAGCTAATGCACCTTATATAATTCTATATACTTGACCCACCAGTGAGGCCTCAGGATTCCCAGCATTCTCAGCACTGTTCCTTCCCTGCCAGACCCTCAGGACTGGCATCGGAGAGACAGTCAGAAATCAAGAGAATGTATGTGGAACTCTTGATTTGGTGCCTGGAATGAATTCAGAACATGGTTTAGAACATAGGACAAAAGAGCGAAGCATTTTTTGAATGAAAGGAACTCTCTTACTCAAGAAGTAATTTTACTTAAAGTATTTTAAGTGCATGATAGGAAATAAGTTGCGAAGGTAACCAAACTTGAGTTACAGAAAGCCCTTTTTCTTTAGGAGTGAAAACTGTCAATGGCAACCTTAAAACATGAAAAAGGAACATGCTAAAAGTAGAGTGACATCTCAGACATTTCTCATGCCTAGTTGCTCCTCTGCAAAATTCGGGGCTGGGATCCCACACTATGGCTGAAAAGTTTCTATTTTACATGCCTGTTACAGGGAACAATGTGGTTGTCAGCAACGCTGAGGAACAAGTGACAGAGACATTCCTACCCAGTCACACAGGGACAGGAAGTTCTCTCACAGGCTTCCCAGCTGCTTCTCTTTACTTTTACCCACATCAAATAAGCCAAAAGAATTCACCATGTACATTTTAGAGGGTCATGTGTCCTGTTTTTTTCATTAAGATCCTACAATAATTGATCTGTAATCCAACTGCCCAATCCACAATGAATGAGACAAATTAAACTAGTATTATTGTCAAATAGCATGTAATAAGGATTGCTGACTCGTACATGTTATTTCAGTGTAGGTATACCTCTGAATCAGCATGGGACAAAAGAAAAAAGCAAACTCAGACTTTTGGGTTACATATACCTGGGCTCAAATCTCCAATCTGAAACCACATGTCAGCATTTTCTGTTCTATAAATTTACATCTTGACATCTATGTTCCAGGTGTATGTGTTGAAGGGTAACACATTCTATTATCATGCGGCATGTCAGGCTCACAGCAAGTACCCAATATCTCAGATAAGCTACTGGAGTGCATGCTAGATAATTCAGTCTGAGAAACAACCCCGGGCATGCACAATTAACCAGAATTGACCATATATTATTTTGCTTGCATAAATCCATTCAGACACTTCTCAAAATCAGAAGCCTGGAAATCAACCAATGGCTCTATACTTAAACTACTGCCTTAGCACACTAAGTCCCAGTCCAGGGGTGAGGCAAAATGCATCTATCAAAGGGGCATATTTGTTTTCAATAACTGGAGGCAGGGAGGAGGCTTAGGTTAAATTGTAACATCTCACTTCAGAGACTTTTCAAGCACTGCTTTCACAGCTCAGAGTAGACCAGACCTAACTTTTTGTTTCTGCCAAGTGAAAATGCCTTTTACACAATATCCTAAGGATGAGTCTTCCTCCACCCACTGCCCTGGAATGGCTCATTCTGTCTGCTAGCCACTCACATTTGTGATATGATAACAAAGAGTAATTGCTGTTTGCCTATGCTCATTTGATAGTTAACATGTTATTTTCTATTCAGGGCAGAATAACTACTTTGAAAATAGTTTTTAATTCTCAACCACTGTGAATAGGAGATGCCAATCAAATATAATGCTCTTGATACTGTAACTGATTTGCTATTCACTGCCACCTTATTAATATGCCTTACTCTCCTTTCCCTTTAGGAAATAAACACTCTGAAAGCAGATAATGATGCCCTAAAGATCCAACTAAAATACGCACAGAAGAAAATAGAATCCCTTAAGCTTGATAAAAGCAATCATGTCTTAGCACAAATGGAGCAGGGTGACTGTTCTTAATCCATGTCTTAGCACAAATGGAGCGGGGTGACTGTTCTTAATCCAGAAACTGAAGGAGCACATCTGTGAACCAGTGTACTGGAGACTTCTCTTCAAAAGACTACAGAGGCTCAGGCAACCTTAGATTAACTGTCTTTAAAAAGGAAGTCAGCTACTGATGCTATTTTTCCACCTAAAAAATCCAGACTACACGGCATCGTTTTTCAGTCACTGACCCAAAGGGAAGAAGGGCAGCAAATGCAAAACATTTGGCACTCGCATTAAACCTTTTCTTTCTTTCTTTCCTGGAACCAATACCAAAAGTGTGCTAAAATATGACTACAAGTTTCCTGAGAGTGTCTCAGACAGCCTGCTTTACTGATTCTTATGTAGATCAAAAATCTCTAGCAACTCAATTTCCTTCCCCAGGGTTTCTGCAAACTGAGAGATTTACTGTGGTCCACTCAAAACTCGTTCAAAATGAAAACAATACCCTAAAAGTGGAGTGACTCTGACAGGCCGGCATTCTTCATGATTCCGGTTCCTACTTCACTACCTCAGATGTATCAATGAGTCTCTTCCCCTCCTTCCTTACTTGCTCTTAAGCACATTAGCATACCTACCTGGAAGTGAATTCCTAGCGATGTGATGTAGCCATAGCTTTACATCAATGGGCCTATTAATTAAACTTGACATTACCCAATTGCAGGTCAACGAATAATTCTAGATCTTACAGTCACCATAAAATACAAAATCAAGCTGGACATTGTGGCGCACACCTTTAGTCCCAGCACTCGGGAGGCAGAGGCAGGCCGATCTCTGTGCGTTCAAGGCCAGCCTGGTCTACATAGTGAGTTCCAGGACAGCTGGGCTACAGGGAGACTCTGTCTCAAAAAGATCAAAACAAACAAACAAACAAAAAAAACAAAACAAAATCAAACTCACTACCCAGAAATAGCTATTGCAGTCTCATGCACGACTGGCTAATTAACTAAGAGAAACAATGCAAACATGTTTGTCCTCACCTTCTACACTGGATGGAATTAAGAATTGGTAGCTTTTTAAAAGAAACAGACTCTGGAGAATGTTTCATTCTACATGTCCTCGTGTATCTCTTTTCTTGAAGTCACTATCCTAAGGTTTTGTTTTGAACTGAATGTGTGGTCAAACTGTTTTCACTATCACTATTTAGAAATAAGCTAAATGGAATCGATGGCTTAAACAGTGGACAGTATGTACATATGTATAGAACTATATATATATATAATTATCAGGTGTGCACGTAGCTTGGATTTTTTCCTTCATAAAATGTAGAAGTGAATCAAACAACTTTTAGTAATTTACACAAATTCACAAAATATAGTTCTGTTTGTCATAAGGCAAATTACTTACAGTATAAATTGTACTGTTTTGCAAAACCACAAGTAACATCCTGTGAGTATTCTATTATGAATATATGTTAATAATCTGTGGGTTCATCCAGTTGCCTGTCAAGCTATTCACAAACTTTGTCAGCTTCTTTTTAGCTTTCTAAATTCCACCTGATCATTTTCTTTTTGGAGAGATGTGGCTTCCATGCATGGCAAGCCTGGTACCATGCTAACTCACACACAGGGTGACCAACTTCCTAGGGTGTAATCTGACAAAAGAAGTTTCCAAAATAAAGTCAGCAGCACCAAGTCTTCATAAGAATGCAATCTGTATCTAGTGTTGTCTACTTGAAGGATTCAGATCATTTAAGAAGTTTCTTTGATGAAAGACCATTGCGCATTTGCACTTTTTTTTTTTTTTTTTACTTTTAGTGACATAAAACTGGCTTGAGGCTAATGTTTCATTAAGTTTTAAAGAATCACTTTACACACAGATTTATCCTTTTTTACATCTAAGCCCAGAAATTCTCAAGGCAGTGTCTACTACCTGGTACATACATTTATGGCAGCACTGTTGCTTGTTTTATATGACAAGCCTCAAATTTTGTATTCTTCACTATTGATATTTTCCAATGACATGCACCAAAAAAAAGGTATAAAGCTAAATTTTTTAAACACCAGATAACACTTTTTTCCATTTTTCTTATTCACCATCCAAAATAGACACCCCCCCCCGCCGATTAGTTTTTATGTAAATCTCTAACATAGGAATTCAGAAGGTCATAGTCCCTGAGTGGATGATTTCCTGCACTGCAGAATGAACACAAGAGTGAAATGACCAGGAAGCAGTTTCAGCCCAAGTTCTTATAGTCCAGTGAGGACAGTGTATATAAAAGTATGTTGATATCATTCACACTGAGCTGCAGGAGCAGGTGCAGTCTGATAACAATCTGAAACAAGTTTTTGGTTTATCAAGCAAAGCTGTTTCTCTGACTAACTTGAAGTGTTTGGAGAGCTATGCATCTGCCAAAATAAGGATGAATCCTGTCAATTAACTATAATGTCATTTCTCATCTTCTCTGTTAACTGACTCACTTTTTACTGACCATTTGTGAATTTCTGTCTAAAGATGTATAATGTAATAGAGCTGCAAGAAAAAAATGTACAGATTGTAAAGTTTTTTGATACCTATTGTAAGTTTTCTGTGTCTAATATTTATATGCTAAAAGACATTTAGATCCCTACAACCTCAGTGTCTTGTGTTTCTTCCTGAAAATGTAGGGATTTCACTTGAGGTTTTTCTATGATCCCCTAATC